TATATATATATATATATTATGTATTTAATTTAACTTTTCAATTAATAACTATTGACCCTTAAATAAAAATTTAGATACTAAAAGGATTCATGTATTGATTCAAAATTCTACTCTTATTATAATTAATGAAAATACATTTATTTTCCGACTAAAAAAATAAAGTGTTGTTTAATAAATTTGAAACAATTAATCCAATCTCCAATGCAAAAGACCCAATTGAATCGATTTAAATTTGATATTGTTGTCAAACTTATCCAAATCAAATTGCAAGCACCTCTAATATTGAATAATAAAATTATGAAAATTTAATCTTTATATTTTAAACTAGTATGAAATAAAAATATTTAATATTTTGTAAAATAGAAAAATTATAAATAAAGTTGTACTGAATTGTAAAATTCAGATACATATAATTAATACATTTTCACAATGTAAGAAAAATATAATTTTTATTTGCACACTAACAAATAAGAGCATCTCCTATTTAAATAAGTGACTCATTTTATATTAATTTTTAAGTGAATTTATACATTTCATTTTAATTTTAACTAATGTTCACTCTATTACAAATTTCTATCAATAAATTGGTTAATTTATAAATACTTTTTCCCCTCTTAAATATCTTATATTCTCTCCCACACAAAAATAATTTTAAATAATCTAAAATTATATGTAACTAAAATAATATTTGTTAAAAAATAATATTTATTTTTGATTATCACCCAAAAGATCTCTCTAACATTGAAGTATGTGTATTCTTTATAAGTTGTTATTTATTCTCTTATTTTATCAATGTGAAACTTGTTTATATCACACTCCTATCATTTGCAATTTTTCATTTTTAACATGAAGCATCCGGGTGGATATGAAACATGCTTTGACATACATTTGTGCAACAGGCAAAGAATGCTGGAGGTTGTTATCTATAAATAGTTGTGAGGCTCGGTAAGCATGCTCCAGCCTATTGGAAGCAGTCTTATGTTGAGATAATGGAGAGAGAGGCTTTGGATCTATTATAAACTTTAAAATGGATAACAAATTTCAATTTCTCTAATGTTATTTTTGAGTTGGATTGTAAAGCTGTTGTAGATAAACTGCATGATTAAGGACTTGATAATTCTAAAGTTGGTTCTCTTCTTACTAATTGTTTTCATATTCTAATTCAATTTTTACACTTTTGTGTTGAGTTTATTAGGAGAGGAGCTAATGTTGTTGTTCTTACGCAGCAATCACCAATGCTAGTCTTCACTTTATCATTACATACCTTACTGTATTTCTTCACTTATACTTTATGAAATGATGAGTTTACTACCTTCAAATAAAAATAAATAAAATAAAGCAACCGAGTGAACCACTTTACAAGCGGTTCAGGTTAATTTGTCGGTTCGGCAACTAGTCTAGTTCTATATAAAAGTTCTAAATACGAATCAATTAGCTGATATCCGACTATATTCTGCTACACATTCATACACTAATTTTAATCATTCACACCACAAACACGCGTTGTATGAGACTTTATGAGCGTAATGTTTACTTAGTGAGCAGTCACCATGTAGCTTGTAAACATGGTTGTACTTTATCTGGTAGCTCACTTGCATATAGTATTGCAGTTAAAGCTTCTTTACTAAACTAAGACTAAAATCGTTAACAGTAATTACATGAAATCCTTCAAGGTGCAAATTTCTATTTTTCATTTTCATAGATAAATAAGGAATGAAGCCAGCTATTGCCGTATTGGTAGATTGAAAATCAAAGATTTAATGCTCTGGGATCTAGTTAGTTCTGTATGTATTCCTTTTCAAGCGATTGCCCATGTCGTGGATGAGGATAACCAGTACTGCTAAGGTCAAGTTGGTCAAAATCAGATCCAGGAAAAAAAAAAACATGTGTGTAATTGAGGTAAGTTCATAAACAGTTCTGTTATTTGAGGTATACATCTGTTGAGCATGTACTAACATTAGCAATACAATACCGTTCAAGGCTCTCAATTATATTTGTTGAATTGTTAGATATGTAAGTACTAAACAAACTATATATATGTGGAAAGAAACTAACTCATGATTTTTGTCTTTCCTCATATCAAACAAAAATTGAGCTAGTGAGATTCAAGGAAAGTAGTAGCTTTGTACAAGACTAGATTTGATAATTTGGAAGAAATTAATAATATGATACTGAATGTGCAAGGCCTATTATGCTGGTACCCAACAAGAGGAAGCATGCAGAACTCGACCCTTCCAACTTTGTAGCATCCAGTTGCCATCCACCTCTAGATTGAAACTAGGGTTGTATCCATCATCTTTCAACCTATTCTTCACTCTTTCAATGATTTTGCAATCGAGAGGAAGTGGCCTCAACCCTGCTCTCATGTTCCGAAGCTGCCACTGCTTGTATGTCTGAGGCCTCTCAATCCTATCACAACCTTCACAAGCCACAATGTTCATTATCTCCCGACCATACAACTCCTTCTCAAACATTAACCTCATGGGATCCTCACGACCAACGGTGGTGTCCAACATGTCAAACAATGCAGAGTAATGAAAGAGAGCCTCCCTGAAGCGTGACACGAAGAAGGGTACATCATAGCTTCCGTTGACAATGCTATGAACAAATATGTCAGGGTTGGCCTTCTTGATCAGCCTCAAAACAGCATCTCTTGGATTATTCAACACCACGGTCTCATCAAGGAGATGCTCAAAATGAAACAAGCAATTCACAGCCACGAATTCGTTAGTCTGTATCTTGAGGTCCTCAACTCTGATGGTGTCCCATCTCTGTGCAATTGCGTTGAACTCGAATGGAACATTGAAACGCTCGCAATAACTTGCGAGTCTACGCCCCGTCTCGTGCACCCTCTCTTCAGGTCTGAAACCTGGTTGTGGCTGATCTATCCCCGTGATGCGAACCTTGGGATGCCCACCGGGGCGACTTGATAGACGGCTTATGAATTTAGGCCACTTGAAGCCATAGCGGATACCAAAGTCTATGATGTGAATTGTTTTCTTATCCTGGGTTCGATTGAAAATTGAGTTGTTGGTGAAACTGATTGCTAGCTTCTCAAACGGACACACGGAAACGTACACATGGTAGGCTTTTATCATGTCTTTAGCAGTGGTTCTTTTGGAGGATAGAACCCTGAAAACCTGGTAACCGCTTCCATCCAAACGCGCTTCAAGGGCGTTTCCAAAGTAATGTGCAAGCCTCTGAATGTCATCACCTATTGGAGAAGAATGCTGCTTAATCTGCTCTATTAACTGCCTAGCAAATGAAGGACTATTAGAAGCAATAGCCTGTGCACAAAGCATCAACTGTGTCCTCAGATCCACAACTTCCTCCTCACTCTTCCCACCAAACGTGCTTGTTAATATTGTCTCGTTGTAGAGGGGCGTGTTTGGAGGTTTACCTTTTCCTAACCCCGTGTTTAGAAGCACTTTATCAAAGAGTTCAGGTAGATCATTTTCATCCACATACGCTGCTGATTGTTTCCTGCTTCTTCCATCTAAATCGTACTCTTCACGCTCACGAATTCTCCTTCCTCTTGACACAAAGTCTTCTTCTTCTTCTTCTTCTGTCTTGATTACCACATTCGGAGGGTTTGTGAAAGAAGGGAAAAAGTTAGTGTTGGGAAGGAAGCGGGTACCTTGCTCCACGCCTCTCTCGAACTGCTGTAGAAAAGTAGAATGAAGAAAGGGATTGTGGAGGGTAGTGAAGTTGGGGGTTGAATTAGAGGGAGGAAGAAGGTTAGTAGGAAGAATAGGGCTGTGTTCATCAGCACTATAGGGAGAGTCAGCGGAATTGGTGGTACTGCTACTGCCAATGCTATAATCAGTGAAGGTACTAGAGAGGCTTTGATCGGGGCTCTCCACGCTGGGATAGTTATGAACGTGAAGGACAGTGGAAGAGGAAGAGGAAGAGGAAGAAGAAGAAGAAGAAGAATAAGAAGGTGGAGGTGGAGGTGGAGGGTTGTTGTTGGCAATAACCTCGTACAATTCTCTCTCAGTGTGTTGGAGAGCTAAGGAATCTTGGAACATGGAGTACCTCTCCTCGGTGTCGTCTTCCATCAGCATCTGCTTTACGTAGCTAAGAACAGCGGAGGAATCATTCTCGTCCAAGTAAGACTCTTCATCACAAGTATTCGTGGTCGAGACTCTTCTATCCATATCTATGAGTGGGAAGGATTGAATTAATGTGCGCCTTTTATTTATATATACATGGCGGGGATTCTCCGGAATAGATAACACTTAATTAACAGGAATAGGAATAGGAATAGGATCCAAGAATATAGATGTAACATTTATTTTTTAACTTTTAAGAGATCTCATTAAAGGAAAGAAAACCTAAAAATGCGAATAAAACTTCTTTTTAACTTTTAAGAGATTTTACTATAAATCTAAATAACATTAAAATATATTAATTACAATCTAAAAAAACACAAAAGATGTAAGTGTAACTTATTATAATTTTTTTATTGATAAATTACAATAACCTTAATTCTTTATATATTTATCCTATTTGTATAATCACTGAATTCACTCTTGTGATTTTATTATTACATAATCTAGTCCTAATTATCGCAATTATCATCTCCTATGAAAAAAAATAAAGCATTTAATAATAATCGAAGATAAAATGTTAATATTTCCAGATATTTATTTTCATCCTTCTTCCTCTTCCATTACATTCTCTCTTTAGAATTAAGATCTCCTTACAGTTCAAAATTGAATTGCAATGAATCTCCGCCACCAATTAATATTTTAATTCATAAATTTTTTAATGAAAAATATAATTAAAAGAGAATGTACGTATACGGTGAAGATGAAATTGCATGCAATTAATTATCCTCACAATTGTAGGGTATCGAAATCCCTCTTGTCTCCAAAGTCCAAACAGGATAAATCGAATATGATATTGTACAGCAATTTAAGTTATTTATACTTTTTATCACACTTTTTTAACATATATTAATACTTTTGTTATTGGCTGAAAACCGTTAAAAAAAACTTTAAAGTTGTATAAGTAACATTTTTCATTTAATAAACTTTACTCATAATAATTTTTAATAAATGTTAACTAATAATTATAAAAGTATGCTAAAATAAATGTGTTGCTAGCGTCCCCTTCTCATTATTTTAAAAATATAATGTTCATAATACTTTTTTCCCTGTGTAAACTAAGGATATTCCAATCAGTAGCCAAACCAATTTATTTCAAAACGTAGAAATTATTAAATTAAGTTTTGTTTGTCCCTTGAGAGTCTTTCTTGAAAGCACAATTAGAACTTTGTTAATTAGCATGTTTAAAGAACTAAAGAGAATTCATTTCCCCGTTTCTCTATGAAGCACTCAGGTACTAAATAATCATCTTTTTAAAATCTGAAATATTTAAATCATTATACCTCCTAGTCTTGTGTTTTGGAAGCTAACATGCTGTTTGGCTGTTGTGTACGAGGCCATTTGTTAGTTGCATCCTCTTCATCCAGAAGCCCTCAAAATGGCATGCATATGATACATCACCACATAGGGTATAGGTATGAGTTTTGATACCTCTCCAGTTTTCTGTCTCAGTGTAAGTAGCAGGCCACAATATATACACAGTAAAAGGGCAATGAGAAAGAGAATGGCCAAAGCTCAAAGATTAACTTACAAGAAACTCAGTGATACCCATTTGAAATCACCTTGAAATAGAATGTTAGTATTGAAATTTTATATTAACCATTTCTGGTTATAGTTTTATTTAAAAATGTGATAAGAGCCAATGGCTTGTGTTGAAGAATATAAAGTTATAAACGAACATGAAAAAGTAAAATTTTAGAAGTAAAATAAAATGCAATTTACTTTTAAAAAATAGAAGATATTTTTTGCATAAGATATTTTTTTTGCACAGATGATGCAAGTGTTTGAGTGAGTCAAAGATGAATGTGTACAAGAGTAAGTGGAAATCTTGAAATGTTGGAAGAAAGAGATTAACAGAAGCAAAAAGATAACCACCGGCCACCGGCCGGTTCAGGTCGAATCCAACTTTGGCAGCTTACGTTCTTTCGTTGACGATGAAATTTGTTTATATCGCTTCTGCTTATAGTCACCGGCCACTGGCTAGAGACTATAGAGTGCCTTCATTTAACACATGTCATGTCTTTTGGGAGATGAATCATGGTTCATTAATTGGCTTGCAGTTTCAACTTTCAAGCTTCAAGAGACAAAAATATCCTACAAAGTCACCACCCCGTTGTCAAATTTCATGGTACCTAAGGAGAGCAACTGACTCCTATCTCTCACTAGCCCTAGTCAAGCATTTGCATATAATAATTCATTTGTTTTGAAAAATGTAACTGTCCTTGTCGAGTCACTTTCCTCTTCCAACTATGTTTTTCATATTCACTGTAATAGAACTTCCAAGACCTTGTTTGGATTGAAAATGATAGAAAGAAAAAAGAGAGATAAATAAGATAAGAATGCTATATTCATACTATTTGCTTAAAAAAGTTAATTTAAGCATGTTGAATGTACAGAATACCAATAAATTCAATAATAATTAATAATTATTATAATAAATTTTAATACTATCTTAAAATATCATTGATCAATATAAGATATTTAAAAAGAGAGAAGTTTAGAAAAATATCCAAAATTATTTTTTGATTTGTACTAAAGATACAAATATCCATATTAATAGTTGAAGGCTAAAATTTTTAGAGACTAAATATTTTATTTTTAGGTTAATTTTTTAAAATTTTTATTTTATTCATTTTATCTTTTAGTTTTTTATAATTTAAAATAAATATTTCTAGTCATTATAATTATATTTTTCAATTCTTTTTAGTCTCTATAGTTTAAAATAGATCTTTTTATTCTCTATATTTGTAGTTTTGTTGTATATTTTGAGATATTTTAAAAGGTTAATTTCTTTGTAAAATTATTTTAAATTTAAATTTAAATTCAAAATTAAAATAATTTTATTAATTATATGTTTTAAAACTTAATTAATATTGATTTTAATGAGATATAATAATGTGACCGTTGTAATTTTAATTATCAAATATTTTAAAATTAATTATTTTTAATTCTTGTGATTAATTATTATCACAATAGTCAATATCTTCCCCTCTATAAATAGATAGAATTAGTAAGAGTTAGTAGAATTGAGCACTGCTCTCTTATCTGTTTTCTCTTTTCTAAGTTAAAAACTTGCTAGTTTAGCACACTGGGAAGATCTTGTCAAAAGTTTTTTATTTCCTTTTACTATCTATTGTTAATTTTTTTTGTAATGTGTGTTTGTGTTGATATTTTAAATGTTTCAATTTTATAAGGATATAAAAATGTTTCAACAATAGGTGCGGCAAATAAAGATACAAAAGAAGCATGGAATGTTGAAAGACCTAATTTACAATAATTCTTACAAAATAAATTTAATATAAGACACAAAATTGAATTAAAACCTTTGTCATTTAACAAAAAAAGACTGTTATAAAAAAAAATTAATGACAAGAGCAATAATTAAAAGGATTAAAAAATATAAATATAGAGACTAAAAAGATTTAGTTTTGTACTATTCGCGCCAAACACTGAACTCGAACTCGGCGCTAACCCCCACACGACATCGGATAAGTGCTACAAGACGTCGGCCAAAGCAAAGCCCCACTATCTAAATGGGCCACGACCAACCTCAGGCCCAGATCATCCCTAACCTCACCCAAGAGGGAAATCCTAATTCACATCAAGGTACGTACACTACATATATGAGATGCTTACACTATCAAACACCAACTTCAGCATCGGAATCTCTTTTGCAGGTACCACCCCTATCTCAGAACCGCCGACATACCTAGCAAAGAAGGCTCACCACTCTTGTCAAGCAGATCGTCTCTCCTGATCGATCTCAGGTAAGAACAAGTTTAAATTATAGGGACTAAATTTTTTTTAAAAAAATAAATATAAAGATTAAAAATATATATCTTAAATTATAAGAATATTAAAGGTAAAGTAAGTAAAATTATAGAAACTAAAAATACTATTTAACTTCATTTTAATCGAAAAAACGAGTAATTTGTATCTCTCCATACGTGGTTAATAGAATGTACAATTATTATTCTAAAAAAAAAAAAGAGATGACAAAAAAAAAATAGATCCTTATTAATGCATATTTATTATGAAATATTTATTGTGAAATATTTATTGTTGGAAATAATAACTAATCTTTCCCAGAAATGATGACGACATTCCAATATAATTTATTTCATACACAAAATTTAAAATAGTTTATCATGTTAATTAAATGACAAAATGGTGAAATAAATGTGAAAGAAAAAAAATGAGTATATCATTATAATAGTTATATATAAATTATATCACCAAAAATTAAAGTTAACAAATTATCATTTATATTATAATTTTTAAGGTATACCCTAAAATAATGAATAAGCTAATATTTATGTTATTATCTATTTCAACAAATTTTTAAAAGTAAAAATAAAATAAGAGAGGGGTGTAGCAAGTAATTAAAGGATAAAGTAGTAGATGATCTAAAGAGTAGTTAAAGGGTATAGTAATTCAATAAAGTGAAAATTAAAAAATGGTGTCTTCTTTTATTATAATTATTATAAATTATCTATATTTTATGATTAATATAATAAATTCCTTTAAAAAACCATTAATAAGGCGATATTTACTTTTTTATATATTACATTTTGGACTATTTTTTTCTTTAACTATGATAATAAACTGTACCATTATATTGTTTTAATTACATATAAAAAATATTTTCATTAACTGCATATAAAATCCAATTTCATACATTTTTATTTCTCATTTAACTTTCATCATCTTTCTTATATTTTTATATTTTTATATTTTAAAATAAAAATATAATTTTACATTCCACTAATTGCATATAGAATTTACAAGAAATGTTACAATATACAAAAAAATATCATTATAAATATAATATATGTAGATATAAATTTATTAAACAAATACTCACATACAATTTTAATATTAATTTTAAATAAGATTTAATAATATATTTTATTTGTCACTATAGTTTATATTTATATATTTTTATTAATTATATACTAACATATATCGTATATATATTATAGATAAAAGTACTTTTTAATCACATGTATTATATCATTACATAAAAATTCTTTAGCATCAAATGTTTTTTTTTTCTTTTATTTAATAATAATAATAATAATAATAATAATAATAAACATTTATTATTACTAGCTACGACGTGCTTTCTTACAATACATTTTTTTCCGTCTTATACCATTGGTACCTTAAAAATTTATTATAGACTCTAACTTATTTGAGTAGAATGGTGTAAGAGAAGATACCTTTTTTTAGTATCTATTTTTTAAAAAAATATATATATATAGGCTTAAATTTCACTTAAGTAAGGATCATTAAGTTTTTTTTTTATTTAATTTTTTTTTAATTTTTTAATATTTTTTATTAGAAATATCATATATATATATATTACTGTTTTTATATAATATTTAAAAAATATTTTGAAATTAAAAAATTAAACCTAATGACATCTCACTAATATTATTTTCTGTTTTACATTAAAGCTGAGGTCGCAAACCACAATATTATCATGGAATTATTCTAAATAGGCTAAATATTGTTATTTTTTTTTATTCATACAAAATATAATGTCCACAATAAAACTCGAATATAAAACATTAATTTATGTATATTATCTTAATATTACTATTTATTTATAATAAGTGATTATATATACACAAATTATATAGTTGGATATTTTTTTTATAAATACTCTTAGTATAATTTCTTTTAAAAAAATTATAAGTTTAAATTAACTTATACACTTAATAACAAATTAATTTTTTTATAAATTGAAAATATATTTTTACAAAAATTAATAAAAAAAAATATCTATAAAGTAACTTATGTATAAACTAGTTTTAGTTTTTGAAAAAATATATTTTTTATTTTTTTCCCAAGACACAAATTTAGGATTAAAAGTTGTACCCTATGCGTCATCCTAACATCGATCTAGAGGTAGGTCGAAATTCATATAATTAGGAATTTATCTTAGTATCCAAGGGATCTGTCTCGATGTGCAAAGAAGGTGTTACAATTTACGGGATCATAGAATATCAATAATATGCATTTGATAATATCCTTAAATGCTAGGATTCGTAAAAGTTAGGAGATTGCATCAATTATTGATTTAGAAGCATAAGGTAAGAGATTATGATCTCAACATGGACTTGATATATAGGAAGACACTTTCAAGTTTAAGTTTAAGATACATTCATTAAATGTTTTGGACCAGGATAGTAGCTGAAATTCTCTAACAGTTATCTCACATATTAGAACATTTTGGCACCCATTATGATCTCAACATGGACTTGATATATAGCAAGACACTTTCAAGTTTAGGTTTAAGATATATTCATTAAATGTTTTGGACCAGGATAGTAGCTGAAATTCTCTAATAGTTGTCTCACATATTAGAACATTTTGGTACTCACTATGAAGCATAAGTAAAATTCTTTTCCATACCTTAGTTGCCAGACGTGAATGGTGATTCACAATAACGAGACTACTAGTAACGTCGGAGGGTCCAATGCTGACAGCTTTAAAGGTATTGGTGCCAATAGAGCAATAAAGGCATAAAAGAAAGCAAAAGAGGTGGAAAGGTTTTAAAGGGAGGATCTTGAGGCCACAAATAACGACTCCACCCTTTGGGGGATCATGCCAACAATGGAGACGTTGCATTGGGACAATGAGAAGGCACTGAAAAGACATCTTCACTATCTACCCTTCCTTATTATGATATAAACATCTTCAAAAGTCTTCCCTTTTCCCATCCATATCTAGGCATGTCAATTTAAATGTTACAACACTCTAGAAACCTCCAACTATCTACTACATGACGAAGAGTCATTCATAGCCGACACATAAGGGGATTGTTTAATACAAAAGTTGTCATGCCACCGATCCACATCTCTCTTGTACTTGAATTACAGATAATCGAAAAGACACTTATTATTCCTTGAGGGTTGTGTACATTGCAAGTCATTCTGACATCAACTTACCGACTTACCAACCCAATGTATACATTATGGGTCATCCTAACATCGATTATAGATTGTCATATAGGTTATCGTGTTGCCAACCCAAAAACACCATTGACATATAGGCTCCTCATATTTACACATTTGAGTTTAGGAGGTTGTCTATCCTATAGGTTGCCATGCCACCAACACAATGGTGGGTCAGCTCTAAGAGACATGGCCCAACACCAACATAGTTAGGTTCTTCGTGGTTTATGCACTCGAGCCTAGGGGGTTGTGTACCCTATGGATCATCCTTACAAGGGACTCCTCTCAATGTGCAAGGAAGATGCTATAATTTACAGAATCATAGGAGATCAATTATATGCACTCCATAATAGCCTTAAATGCTAGGATGCGTAAACGTTAGCAAACAATGTTAATTACAAATTTAGAAGCATAAGATAAAGGATTATGATCTTATGTTGGATTTGATATATAGGAAAACACTCAAGTTTAGGTTTAAGTTACACTCATTAGATGTCATAAATCAAGATAGTAACTAAAATTCTCTAATGATCGTTCCACATACCAGAACAAAATTAAAATGTAAATAAAAAGAAATATTTTTTATCAAGGAGAAAAAGAACTTTTTCCATAAAAGGCTTTATCATATGAAGTTGATTGGTGACATTAGTATAACAACAATAATAATAAACCCATGATAGATTTATTTAATTTCCATTACATTTGGAACACAAACTTTCCAAACTCGTTAAATTATAAAGGAGCCAACAACAACAATGGTTTTAGATTCTATACATTTGGTATTTGTAAAGATATTTTTCATTTTTATTAATAATTATAAAATATATTTTTCTTTAATATTTACATAAAATATAAAAAGTACTTTTTTTCTCTCTCTAATTTATACTATTTTATATAAATATTCAAAAACAAAATATAAATTGAAAATAATATACTCATTATTTTTTTTACTTAAATATTTTTTAGTCTTTCAAATATGAGATAATTATTTTTGTCTCTCAATTTTAATTCTTTTTTTTTTAGTTTTGTAAATTGAAAAAAGTCTTATTGTAGTTTTTCTACTTAAAAATTGATAATGAATTTGTCAAAAATTTACAAAATATTAACCTATTAGTATCCTTAATAATGAAAATAACACATTAAATCTAACTAATTCTGCATAATTATTTCAATTTAACACTATTAGTTATATAATTGATCATTTAAAAGATTAAAATAAAAATTTTTAAATTAAAATATTTTTAAAAATTAATTTTAAATTTGAGAGAAAATAAAAAAGTTACATAAGAATTTAATAGAATTGGTTAATAAAATAAATTTTAAAAGAAAATAAAAGTTAGTACCAAAATTTTAATTTGTCTAAAATAGTAATAATTTGATTTTGTTTCAATTCAAAAGTAAATTATGTAAAGAGTGGATTATTACTTTGATTATGTATGTGTCTTATTCATTTAATATTATCATTTAGAATTAAACAGCGATTAGCTAATAATAGATAAGCTCTAGCTACACTGTTCGGTGGGTCCATAATTGAATTTGCAGATTTATTTCTGTGATTAACATGTGCATCAGTGCATGCATCCTGGTGCACCTCCAATTACACACCAAACATTGATTATGGAGACAACCTGCTAAGTAACTTTTCTATAGCTTCTTCACATTGTTATGGTATCATTTCTTTACATAATAGATGAAGTGACATAGTACTAAAAAAGGAAAGTGGTAAACACATATTCCATAAATACAGTAAGACAAAGTAATAAATGGTAGTGTTAATGACTAAGGGTCATAAAGCTGAAGAGCCAACCCATCTACAAGCCACGTGGTGGTGTCTATTAAAGAAGAAGGCAAGGTTTTGAGTGGTGCCTGAGGTGTTGCTTAGTTTGCTGCTGGGACCAATATGCATGGGCAGTTAGGACCCTATCCAAAAGTTCTTGAGGAACTGGCTCTCCCCTCCTTTGCTGAGGGGATATCCTTGCTGTGTGCACCAGTGTTTTCCATTTATCCTGCACTATCCCATACCTAAATCATATGCCAATACCTTTTCTCTAAGGGGGCAACCAAAATCATAGTCCTTCTAGTCCTTTATAAAAGAAATTAAGTTCTTGCTAACCGGTGTCCTTAGGAATCAAAATGTTTTTTTTTTTCCTTGTTAAAAACTGCAATAAAGTTCCACGAGAAAATATACAGATACACTTTTTAATAAAACTTTTCTACTTTTGATTCCTTAACTAGTGTCTTAAAGACACTTGTTAATATTTTTCAAGAAATAAATAACTAAGTCACAAAGATCGATAAAAACAGAAAAGATAATTAATTTTCACTAATAATGTCTTATGCCAAAAATATCCATTGAATTGAATAATTTAAATAGTGTTTATATTGAGACATTACACCTTTCCACTGATGTCCATAACTTGTTAATAAATCAATAAATACTTCAACTTGCATAAAAGGTAAGTAGGTGTCTTACTAATAAATTTCACAATAAATAAAGCGAATAAAAGAAATTAACAATTGGTACATCTCAAGGTGAGTTTGTTTCTTATAAATAGGACTAGAAAAAAAAAATTTGCTTTTCTTTGTATAAAGGACCAGATGGAGTACTAGTGAAAGTGACCCAGTTCTTTCTTTTGGATTCTATCACTACCTAACTTTACAGAAAAAGGATATGATAATTAAATTTTCATAGATCAAATTCTATTTTGGTAAACGTTAAATCAAGTAGCTAGAACTAGGAAAAACATTAGGCATTAGGCGATGAACATGTACAGCAGATGTCGTGTCTGGCCGGTTAATATTGGAACCAAAGCAAGAGATCATTAATGAAGCAAAAATAGTTTGCCTAATATACAAGTACTTGCCTTGAAACAGCAACTACTTGGTTTTAAATAAAAGTTATTGGATGATGAAGATTATAGAAGAAAGCGTGCCACCCAACAACCTGAAGTGTGACAACCACGTTCTTTTCAACAATCCATTTGAGCAAGAACAAAATCCAATAACGAACAAAAACTTAGCTATGCATAAGGGTAGCAAAAGCTTTTACCTTCAAATCCACATATGTCCGATGCTTTGCATTATCAAAAGCACGAAGTTTAACATCACGCCACCTGATTTTCATCCCCAAAAAGAAACTATATGAAGGGATTGTCAAAAGGAAATATAAAATGAATAAATCTCTCAACACTTGAGGCAAAAACACGGTGGAAAGCAAGAAGCAAAAGACAAGTCTTACTGACCAAATACTAATCGTCAGACTCAGTCACTAAGAGCATGTTTGAATATAAACTTATAAGAGTTTTTAAGAGCTTCTTTACTGGAAAATACTCTTCATTTTCAGTAGAGAAACTCTCAAAAACCTTTATAGACTATATTCAAACAGGTTCTAAGTTGGACTGATCACAAGCCAATTTAAATCTTACCTTCCAGTTCCAAGTTTCTCAACTGCTTGAACGAGTGCTTCCACTTCAGCAACCGAAAAAGGCCTACGAATTCGGCGCTGTGCAATCTCAGTTCGCTTAGATTTCTGATGCACAGGTATCACAGCTAGTGCCTCCATACCCATTTCAGGAACATTAATCAGCTCTTTGGAATCTTTAAATTTTTTTTCACCAGATGTGTTGATGGGTGAAGGTGCTGAATCATGATCACTTTCAACAAGGTTACCTAAACCGGCTATTTGATGCTCAGCTAACATGTTAGAAAAGCATTGAATCCTCTGATGAATTACAGCAGGACTTGAAGTGTACCTGAATATATCAATGATCTAATTCAATTGTAGAAAGAAAAAAAAAAGACTAAAATTAATGCAGTATATGAAAATGAGTTATGTTAGATGAAAATATTCTGCAATGCACATAATTCATATCAAGTGAAGTGGGCCATCAATTATGATGAAGGAACAAGGAGAGAGAGAAAGTGAAGTTGTTGATTGAGGTCAGGAATTATGTGAGGAAAATATTATTAGTAAGTAACATTTCCGTGTTAACATCTCAAGGGAAAAATGAAATATCAACAAAAATGCAGAGGCATTAATCCATGTAATGCACTATTAGTGCATTCAATTGGAAGTTAAGCATTACCCTATTAAAGGCTGAGGCATGTCTGCACTAGGAACACAGAGAGAATCTGTAGCACATGCAGGTGATTTGTTTTGGGAAGAATTAGGCTCCAGGGTGAAGCCCAAAGCATCCAGGTGGTTATCATGAGAAATTCCAGTCTGAAGTAGAGTTTTATTGTCATCTCTAACCTTCTTCCCATGGAGAATCACACCTACACGTAATCCACTTCCAAGTACCGCAGTCACTGCCTCCATCACTGTCCTCTGCAAAGCAAATTGTTGTAAGAGCTTCATCCAACGTATGTGAAAGATGCAATAATAATCATACCACATGATGAAGCAGCATGGCAAGAATACACACACAGAAACAGATGCCATCCATAATTAACATCTAAATACAGGATAGGGTGATTGTGTGTATGTTATAATAGAATTTATCATACCCTCAAGGATCCAATGGTTGCAGTTTCTGGAATCTCAATAAAAAGCTCGGGCACTCTAAATGATTTGATCCTAAGCTTCACTGATTAAAAGAAAGACATCTTCATGTAAGAACCTCTTTGAAGACATCAGTCAAGTCAGAGTACATAAAGAATCACTCCCTCAAATTTCAATCTTCCCATACCATGAGAATCTCCAGATCGTAATGCAGAGTGATCCAAGGATGATGTTCCATGATCTGCATCAAAGATTTGGAATTTATTCAGCAAAAGATTCCTGAGACCTTTAAATCAAGTGGCCAAGTAAAACCAATTTGAATGAAAGAAGGTCATTTAAAGTAAAACCTTTGCTCATCCCAGAAGATGAACAAGAAAAACTTTGATTCGTGTCATTCTTGGGTGAATAATAGGTGTCACCTCTTCTGATATATCCATTAGAATTTGTATCAGAGCTACAGTTAAAAATCTTCCTCTTTTTGAAAGGAATGTTCATTTGAGATCTTTGGCTTTTATAATAGTTCTTCCTACTGCTGTAAACTGGCTTCATATTTCCATCCAAAACTAACATGTTTTCAATTGAAAAACAGATTAGTGAACAAGCAAAGAAGCATGAAGAGTGAAGAAACAAGAAAGCCAGTAGTTTCATATGATATGCGTGAACTTACCACTGTTAGACAGTGTATCATGCTTTGATTCTTGAGCAACTTCATGATATTTAGAAGCCAATCTTTTATTTATTTTTCTATCATCTATAAAAGTAATTGGCCTAAAGGACTTTATTTTGGTACTAGGGTGAGCACACCCAGAAAAGTTTTCGTCATCATCTCTACTATATACTAGAACATTGTCACAACCTTTGGACAATGAGCTCTGAGGCATGCTGTCATCATACCCAGACAACTTGACATTGCCACATGAATTGATCAGTGCTGGAGGTTTTTCATCCAAGGCCTCAAAACAGCACAACTCAGTCCCGGTATCAATGGGAACCTTCCCAAGCTTATGCAGCTCATCTTTTATTTTACTTACATCACCATCTAACTTGAAACCGCTACTCTCTGGACATCCAGAGGAACCTAATTCAACTTTGCTAGCTGAATTTTCCATTCCATTTTGGCCTTTTCCATCCACCGGTGTCTCAGCAACAAACCTCTCTGAGCAACTAGAACTTGTTACTATAGAAGCAATGCATGAATGGCCATCATTTTCATGTTGCAATTGTTCCTTCGAACAGCCCTTTTGATTGTATACTTGTGACGAAATATTAGAGAAGCATTTTCTGTCACTACTTCCTTCGTCGGAAAGCTCAGCTTTGAATGGTTTATTTTCTTTAACAAATTCATTCTGGTATCTTCTGTCACAACTTGCTTCATCAGAAAGCTCCGCTTTGAGTGGTTTATTTGCATCCAGGCACTCCTCTTTAACAAATCCATCCCTATTCTTTTGCGATGATCTATCACTAGATGTCGATGGATTGTGTTTCTCTTGCAATAAATTGTCAGCTACGGTGGCCAATAAGTCAAATGCACACATTTGATTGTCTTCCAACCTTCTTTGAAATGTAGCATTCCTCTAGGAAATATTAAAAAAAAAAAAAAATTGGTTTCATAGTCTGTAACTAAATAGACAATAGAAATCCCCAGATGAGAAGTAGAACTTATTTACCCTAGCAGATCGGGTAGCACGGCGCTTGGTTGGAACCTGATAGCCATTAAAGCTATAGTCTAACCTCTTCTGCGGCACCATATCTCAGGAACCATGCCAATATAAGAATTGAGATCAAACATGAAACATCAGCAATCCAATACTCATAAATAAACTTGAACTCTGCATGTTGCTTGACTCCACTGGTTTCGTTTGGAAAGCCTGACAGTTAATGCTCATTAGTGATGGCTCAAATACACTATAGTGAACTAGTATAAACAAAGGTTTATGCTACTAATGTTGTGAATGACAAAGCATATTATCTGATACAGAAAATAAATTCTACTAATCCATATTCCCCTACACCATTCGCGGGCGTGATGGGGCATCACAAAAACTAGAGGGAAAACAATATTAGCATAAATGAACGCTCAAAAAAGGCCATTTATCAGATATATTAAATATATTGTATATTAATATTTGTAATCATTTTACCAAATGGGAAAGTAGGTGCCTTAAACTAAAAAACCAAAACCTTTGCACGGAGAAGTAAACCAAATTTAAGCTGGGAGAAGGATACAATTTGCAAAAATAAAATATAAACCCCATGAAGCAATAGTTTTTGAAAGGTTCAAACGTGAAATTAAAAGGCAAAGGGAGAAAGCAAAATTTATGAGACATAAAAGTTGAACTAGAACACAGGAAAGGGATTCCAAAACGAGGCTAGATTCCAGACATGCTAACGAGAAGAGAACTAAACTAAATTCAGACCAAAAGAGATCTAAAATCACGGAACAAAATGGGTCTCAGAAAACAACCAACAATCATCACGTGCAGCCCGGACACCAGAGATCAAATCATCACAAGCTCGAATTGATCAAAGGGACACATGACATAAAAACAACTGATGCATTGTGGTCGCGGAGAAACTGAAAATTCATATCTTATTGTCTCAGAACCACAAAACAGTGCCCGCATAAAATCCTACGTCAAAATTCCAACTTCATCTTCCAGTCCCAAACCCCAAGGATAAACTCGACAGTTTAGAAGGGAAAAAGTAAGAAGAGAAAAAAAAAACGAAACTTGGCATATTTTAGAGAAGCAAAACCCATCAAAGCTCAACATGATCACCTCTTGGCACAGATTGCCGTTCAAAGATCAGAACTTTTACTTCCAAAAAGTGGAAATTTCGGCAAATTTTGGAATTTTGAACCGAATGAGAGATGGGGAATAGTGAAAGAGAATTCGGAGTGAAAATGACTCCACCCCAGAAAAAAACAAAAAATAAAAATCTCTCAAGTCTCAATTATGCAGGAAATGTTTGGTTTGAGATAGAGAGGGTGGGCATTTTGAAAATTGTGTTGTTCTCTCATTGTGAATCTGAAATCTGAAATCTGAATCTAATCTGATTATGATAATGTGTGTTGTGTTGTGTTGTGAATGGCTAAAAGTAAAACCCTGTGAAAACCACCAAAGCTATGCCTTAAACCCCAAGAGTTTATAGCATTGACCGTGTGTCAGTGTCACCGGAGCTATCGGTGGTTGCAGGAAATGGCACCGGATATAGTAGGTGGACCTAAAGACCGGTTCCACGCAATTCGATGAGCCATGTGCCACCAGATTCCGACACGTGGCTACCCTTTCCATCCTGTGGTTGCTTCTGGTCCGCACGATCGGGAAAGACGCTCACTCCTCACATTTTCTTTTTCAACTCCCGCTGTAATTAATTAGACTTTGCACTTTCCATCTTATTCATTTCAATTTCATTTCTATTCGTCTGCCTCAATAATACTTTAAGAACAACAAAAACAAATAGTGGGGATCGCCGAAACAAAGGGAACAGACTAGTGTTTTTTATATAGGTTACTATATTATAGGTCAAATTATGAGTATAATTTCTACTTTTCAAGTTTATTTTGGATCTTAATTTGAAATAATATAAGATTTAAGGAAATTGTTCACATAAAAAATCCTTGTGGCTTGTGAGTGTCCTAAAAAAAAAACTTGTGAGACTAAATTTAAATAAAAAAATGTAAAGGAATTGAATTCAAAGTTAAATTAAATATAGAAGGTGGAAATTATAATTATGATGCAAATATTACCAATTTGTGCAACCAAGTGTCTATATTTAGTTAATGGTTGTCTTAATTTAATTAGCGATTAAATTTTTAATACAAGATATTTGTGATCTTATGATAATTATTTATTATAAAAAGTATAAAAAAAAAAATTATATTGCATAAAGTAAATATATATTAAATGACTTTGATAAAGTTGAAAAAATAATGAACTTATTTATAAAATAACATCAAATATATTTAAATATAATAATTGTCAACATAATAAATCAAAATGGTTAAAAATATTTTTTCTTTAAATTATTTAAAATATCAAAGGTGGGCTTTTTGGCCCAGATAAATTAAAAAAATAAAAATACACAAAATAAATTAAAAAAATAACAAATTACTAGAATAGGTAGTTTTTGACACGTAAGAATACACATGGATGGAGAAAACGCGGGAGACTGGACGTTTTTTAGACGAAGCCTCCTCTCATGCGCCTTGTATGGGCCCACGTGGCACATGTCTGACGTGGAGAAGAAAGAGCAGGGGGAGGCGTTTTTTAGATGGAGTCTCCCCTCAGGCGCCATCTGTGCAGATTTTGTCACGTGGTGATGTGCCTCCACCCTAGGCACCATCTGTGCAAATTTTTAAACAATTTTTTAAAATTTATAACAAATTCAATTTTTATTTATTATAATTATTTATAAAATAAATTATAATATTTTAAAATAAATTATCAATAAATTAATTTTTATATATTAAATATTGCACAAGAGTTTTTGTACTTTTTTTAAGAGATTTTGTATTTATATATAAAAAAAAAGCACTTAAATTCTTTTAACTAAAATATAAGTAAATTTTAATTAAGTCAACTTTATTAGATATTTTAATTCAAAAATATCTTGAGATAATAAATGAGAGTACAAGAGTTTTTTTGTATTTTTTTAAGAGATTTTGTATTTATATATATATAAAAAAGCACTTAAATTCTTTTAACTAAAATATAAGTAAATTTTAATTAAGTCAACTCTATTAAATATTTTAATTCAAAAATATCTTGAGATAATAAATGAGAGTATTATTTATAATTAATGTGATTAAAAATATTTTAATAAATATAATATGCATTTTATATGAAATCATGAAACTTAAATATATTTTTTTATGTGAAATTAGTTTTTTTCCTCTTATATATAGAGAAAGTACTATTTTTTTGACGGGAATGTGTTTAGAAATTCTTGTAACTTCTTATTTTTTAACTAAATTAATTTTTTATTTATCATATTTATTTATGAATTAAAATTTTTATGAAAATTAAATATATTTTTTTATGTGAAATTAGTTTTTCTCCTCTTATGTATAGAGAAAGTACTATTTTTTTTACGGGAATGTGTTTAGAAATTCTTGTAACTTCTTATTTTTTAATTAAATTAATTTTTTTATTTATCATATTTATTTATGAATTAAAATTTTAAATTTTTTAAATAAATTAGAAATAATTAAAAATAATATTATATTAAAATATAAATTATTTATGTTAAATTCATATATAATTTATTAAAATATATTATTTATTTATATGTATAATTTATTATATAATTTAGTTATATATAATAAATATTTTATTTATGAAACACAGACTAAAATACTAATACAAATAATTTTATGGTACAATATAAATTGTTTAATATAAATTTAAAATATAATTTATATATTTTAAAAATATTATTTATTTAATTTTTAAATATAATTTATATATTTAAAATATTATTTGTATACATAATTTATTTTAAATTTTAATTATATATAATAAATATTTAATTTATGCATTACAAATTTACACTAACTAAAATATTAGTAAAGCTTAAATTTGATATCTATATTTTAACCTTTTAGCACATACTAAATAGAGATTTATGTCTTGTTTAATTAATTTGTTCATTTAATTTCTCTCTTAATTTTTAAAAAAATAATATAATTTCAATCTTTTTGTTTGATGAGATGAGACTAACAATTTTTTTATATGACTGATACGTATTATTTTTTTAATTTATCACAGAAAAAATAATTATATTTAATGATAGAAGGATCAAGTTAAACATTAAATAAAATGATAGACAAAAACTAATTTAGATTAATTAAAAATATTTGGTTCATTCTTATATATATCATTTTTATATTTTTATTTTTTGATAATTTCATAAATTTTATATTTTAATCTTTATAATAATAGAAAATTAAAAATGATATGTATAGAAAAAATCAAACATAACATTTTAAAGATACTTAAAAAGGTAAAATTCATCCTACTATATAGATAAAAAAAAATTTAAATCTATAATATCAGCATACAATATATTATAAAAATTAAAACTAAAAATTACAACAATTAAAATATGTTACTCACTTGCACTACCCTGGACCACCAAATAAAATATAATAGCACTATCCTGGACTACCGGACGAAGTAAACTTTTGCAAAATCCAATAACACGTTGTAGACTTTAAGTATTATTGGTGTGTTTGAATTTGATAGTGCCTGGGGCTGGGGCGCCACATGTACAACGTGCCTAGGGGAGAGGCGCTATGCCAAGTGTCATTGCAGATTATTTTTAAAATTTAATTTATAAATAATTATAATAAATAAAAATTAAATTCGTTATAAATCTTAAAAAATTGTTTAAAAATTTGTGTCATAAACACATACATAGTGCCTAGGGTGGAGGCGCATTGCCACTCGCAAAATCTGCACAGATGGCGCCTGGGGGGAGGCTCCATCTGAAAAATGCATCCCCCTACTCTTTCTTCTCCACGTCAGACATGGGCCACGTGGGCCCATACAAGGCGCATGGAAGAGGCTTCTTCTGAAAAATGCCCAGCCCCTTGCATTTTCTCATCCACGTGTCTTCCTACGTGTCAAAAACTACTTATTCCAATAATTTATTATTTTTTTAATTTATTTTGTGTATTTTTTTTTTTTTAATTTATCTGGGCCAAAAAGCCATCAAAGATGAGGTCATGCAACTTGAACAGAGATTACTTGACGTAAAACCCATTTGAAATGTGAGTTCACCCAAGGCAACGGGCACAAAAATAGAAAGAAAAAAGATGAAGGTCTACCAGAAATTTGCCAGGTCCACAGATTCAGTAGACCAAAAAAACCGTTTAAATCAGATAAAGAAAAATGGTAAGAAAATTATGTATAAAAATTGACGTAGTTACGAATTTACGCTCTTGGTGTAAACGTTTAAACTTAGTTGAACAATAATTCTAAATGTGTGATTCAGCGGTAAGAGTTGATCCACGCTTAAGCAAGGTCAGGAGTTCGAATTTTTGGGTCTGCTATCCCACTCTTTGAGGTGCCTTCTTCGGAGATTAATCACTACTATTAGTGATAGATACTCCAAGGACAAAAAAAAAAAAAAAAACTTAGTTAAACGGAATTTCAGTCACGTTTTGTTTATTAGAAAGGTGAAACGGATGTGTCAATGGTTAAACAACACAGCTTTAAGAAATACTGTTAACTTGATGAAGGCTCGTAATTAAAATTTATTATTAATATAACTTTTAAGATGATTATTTTAAAAATTAACAAATTTAAAATACATATATTTTTTGGCTAAGGCATTGAAAAATTGATGTTATTTTTTTCACTTTCGGTGCGCAAACCAGTACCTGTAATCTATATGTTGCATTCAATATTTTACTTTTGGTAAGGCATTGAATGATTGATAAAGGTAAATAGAAAGCTGGGTGTAGATTCTTCACCCTACTTGGTTGAGTGCTTGATACTATGCGGCTATGCATCTGCGTGGAGTTTCATTAATTTATTGCAATGTCTGTTTTGATTATTTTTCTATAATTTATATTATGCTTATCCGTCGTCATTTATCAATGTAACAGATAAATGTGCAAATAAGTGGTTGGAAAGCCAAAAAAACGTGTAAATTACATAAACATCTACGAAAGTTTTATCAGGTTACATAAATACTTTTTATTTTTTCTACTCCTACAATATTTTTTAAAAAAAAATTGTTGAAACATTCTTTGTATTTACATTAGCTTCTTTTAGTTATTTGAAAAATATTAGACTACGACTTCCTGTAAACAATGTTTTAAAAAAAAGTGCTTGTACAAAATCTAAAGGAGTATGGTTATAATTTATATTAAATAAATAAAGGGGAATAAGAGAGGTGGGGGTGGCTCTCGTTCACATAAAGCATTTAGAAGAACACGGCAGATGGTGTGTTTTTCTCATTGCAGACAGAAACAACATAAACAGAGCCCTTCTCACCTATGTTTTCCCGCAATTATAGAAAGAGACGACACCGGTGTAACTTTTACTAAGTGTTACACCACTCAATAACTTAATATTAATTTTGAATTTTGAAA